AATGTAAGATGTACATTTCTTATGCATCCAAAAATCATGTAGATGAGGAAAGTGTTTGTGATAGAGCGGTAAAGAAATTCTACGAAATGAAGAAAAGAAGAAAGTAAAACTGTAGAATTACACTTGACTGTGACTTGGTATGCATGTCACAATTTTTGGTTTAATATTACTACATAAATTATTAACTAAGACAAGGTGAATCTCACCAGTAAACTAATGCAAGAACTGCTGGTATTAAGAAACATGAGCACACTATATTCCAAAATTAAAGCTCTATTAATTACGTTAACCCCTGGGGGACGAACTACAGCCACAGCTGTAGAAAATTACATCACCTATTTTTGTTGCTATTTAAAGCATGCCCGTGGGGAACTGAGGCTATTTATGCATTAAACCGCTGGATAATAAAATGAAGCTCATTTTCAGCGAAAAGAGCGAATAAATAGCGATGAAGAGGAAGGGGAAAGTGATGGAGAATTGAAAACAGCGATGAAGAGGAGCAAAACTACTCCAATATGAGATGGACATCTGCTATACAACCCCCAGAAGGCATAAATTTTCGAGAAGAGGTTGGTATGAGGGTAGAAATGGACAATGATAGTAATTGTTTGGATTGCTTCCAACTTCTGTTTACTCATGATGTTTATCAGCTGATTATTCGTGAGACCAAACGGTTTGAGCATCAAAAACGGCAGCTTGAGGACAATTCCCTGAGTGATCTCCACGATTTTACCCTTCCAGAGCTAAAGGCTTGGCTTGGGCTCACATTAGCAATGGGTCTTGTCAAAAAAAGCAATTTGAAAGCTTACTGGTCAACTGATTCGGTCACCAAAACTCCACTGTTTTCTAGCACTATGTCAAGAGACCGCTACCTTCACATTATAAGATATCTCCACTTTGTAAATAATTGCAATGCCCCAAACCAGACAGATCCCAACAGGGATAAACTGTGGAAAATTAGACCATTTTTAGATGCTCTTGTGCCCAAATTTACGGCTGTATATGCGCCTTCTCAGAATTTATCTCTTGATGAGACACTGATCAAATTCAAGGGCCGTCTTCACTTCAGACAATTTTTGCCTTTAAAGAGAAGCAGATTTGGAATCAAAGGTTTTGTTATAGCAGATTCAACATCTGGCTGTGTACTTGGTACTTCTATTTACACTGGAAAAGAGGGTCCAGCGGCAAGCAAGGATTTGGCTCAGCTAGTTGTTCTAAAGCTAACAGAGCCTTATTTCAACAAAGGTTACAAATTGTTTGTTGACAACTGGTATACCAATGTACCTCTCTTTCTAGAACTGGAAAAAAAGGGAATTAGAGCCTGTGGAACAGTGAGGGGAAATAGAAAGTACCTACCTCAGGACATTGTTGACCAGCAATGCGAGCAGGTCAAAAGCCTTGTCAGGGGAGAATCGCTTTTCCGTCAAGTGGCAACCTCATCTGTGTGACATGGAAGGACCGAAAGCTGGTACATTTACTCTCAACTCTCCCTGAGGGTTTGGGAATCGGACAGGTAGAGAGAAGGGTGAAGTCACGAGGACAATGGCAAAGGCAGAACATCGCACAGCCACAGTTGATTAACCTGTACAACTCCATATAGGAGGAGTTGATTTGGGTGATCTTGCCGAGGCGATTTCAGCCGTGTAGTATTGCGATGACTTCATCAAGAGCCATGGCAAAAACGAATGTTTCAAAGATATGCCACTGGTGAACTGGTTCTGTTGGACGCCACGTACAAAATGACAAGGTACGCAATTCCACTCTCTTTAGTTCGTGTACATACTAACGTGGGATATAAGGTTGTGGCTGAATTCATGTGCCAGTCAGAAGATCAAGCCTCTATAAATGAAGCACTTGCCATAATGAAGGGATGAAACCCAGCGAGGCATCAACGTACTTCATGGTGGATTATTCCGATCCAGAAATCACTGCTTTTGTAGAACAATTTCCCAACAGTTTGGTGTACATTTGCAATTTCCATAGATTACAAGCAATGCACTATTGGTAAAAGTCAAAGAAGAATGGCCTTTCCTCTGATGGGCAAGAGATATTCTTAAAGCTTATGAAGAGCATCAACTATGCTAACACAGTAGACAAATCCAAGAAGCGAGTGAACGCTTTGAAAGAATGCTGGCTTTAAAAAGACAAAATGGATGTTCAGAACTATGAAAACAACACATGGCTATCTTGCAAGGTTTAATAAGATACTCCTTGTTGACAAAACGTTCTATCATATTTCCGACGGCCACGCCCATTAAAAGCTCTATCACAAAAAAAAATGAAAAATTTGGTAGTTTTGTGCTTACTATGATTTTTGTTACAATTGGTTACCACCAGTTTATTAAACTTACATGTTTATTACATCACTGGACACCCAGTAGCCTTTGGTTGATTGGAAAATAGTGATAGAAAAAATAGCTCGCATGTGCATGTAGCTGACAGATACTTGAACAATGAAAGGTTAGTCCTAAGTGAGGTCCAGGTTTCATTGAGAAATTTCTTGGAAAATGGAGGATCACCTAAGAAGAGCATGTATAAGGCCTTCTCTGCAACTCTCAGGCTCATTCAGGAATCTCCAAAAGACAATCACAATAAGACTGGCGCATTGGTAGTAGGTGATCACATCATGTGGCTTGCAGAGTGCATTACAAAGGACTTACCCTGGACGACTATAAAACACCATTGCCTTTCTCTTTGTAAATAAATGTCCTTTTGATTTTTCAAAACACACTGTATCTGGTAATTTCGAGTGTTTAGTTCATTCTATTTTATGGATAACTTGAACGTTTTGAGGTCGGTGTAAAACCATGAATTAAGCCCTTTTTCATTATTATCATTATTTTTGTTGTTGTTGTTGTTATCATGATTACTATTATTATCATTATCATTTGATAAGACAGGTCAAGCCTGCCCATCAACAAGAAAATGCAATATCACAAGGTAAATCAAATCAAATATAAAATATATAAAGTTTGATCACTAGTACAGAAGGCAAAGCGTTTGCGAGTTGCTAAGAAAGCCTGACAAGTTCTTAAGAAAGCTGAGAAGAATGGAGCTTTCTATAGGAAACAATTTATGCAGTTGGCCAAAAAGGTAATCATCAAGGGCAAAAAAGGTAGACGCCCTGCTAAAAAGAAGTTTAATGATCATTCTAAGCATCACCAGAAGAGAATAAAAAACCCTTTGAAGGAGGAGTGCCAAACTACTCTGTCCTTTCTTAGGCTCTACAATTTTATTGCCACAAAAATTGAAGTGCTTAACACTGATAATAATCAGCATGAAACTTTTAATCTTGTTGAAGAGGGAGAACTGAGTTTCACAGAGTCTGATCCAAAGGAACTTACCAATGATGACCTTGATAATATAAACGTGGGGCTCTATCTAAAAGACAAGTTTAATATTTCACATGAGGCCCTGCATGAAATTGCCATCAAAGCCAATGACGTTCCCAACACCTAATCCACTAAGAAGCGAATTATTGAACTAAACAGCAAATGGGCCCTGAGACCAACTCAAGGGGATGCTGAGGGTTTCCAATTACGATTTGCAGAATCCTTGCAAGAACATATTGTGAGACTTCAGCAAAATGGAGAAATCAATGATGGAGGAACTATTAGGATAAAGCTTAGTGGTGATGGAACAAATACTGGAAAAAGGCTTACAGTTATCAACTTTACTTTCACCCTGCTCAATGAAAAGGAGGTGGCAATGGGCGAGAAGGGGAATTACGTACTCGCTGTTGTAAAAACTACAGAGACATATGATAATCTAAGAGAGAGCCTAGTAAACCTTCGGATGGAAATGTCAAACTTGACGGAAATAAGTGCAAATAACTGCACCTACAAGCTTGCATACTTCTTAGATGGAGACTGGAAATTTTGAGCACTGGTCTGTAGTCTAGGAAGGGCAAATGCGGATTATGCCTGTGTGGTGCAAGTGTACCAGGGAGCAACGATGGAACAAAGCAAAAAGTGGTCAATTGGTGACCCTACATTTGGTACTAGGACTATTGAGGAAATAAAGTTTTCCACTGGAAAGAAATTCAACTGTAAAGTAAAACCACTATTTGATTTTATACCCATGGATCATGGATCATGTTATCAGAGACACATTATATTTCTCTCTCAGGATTTCAGATGTTTTAATTGAATTGCTCACAAGGGAGTTGAGAAGAGGTGGTGCTATTGAAAAGAAAAACATTATCTGATGGATTCCCAATAGATAAGCAGAAACACATGAGAAGTTATGAAGAATTTATCGAAAGTATTAGAATCTCTTTTAACTTTAGAATCAACAAGGAGAGTAAGAAGCCAGAATATAGAGATCTTACTGGACCAGAAAAATTGAAACTCTTTCAGAATGTAAATATCCCTTTCCTTCTCCCTCAGTGCAGTCAAAACAAAGATATACAAGTCATCTCCCTAAGCGAGAGCATATTTCATCGATATTCTCCACAATTTAAGTTTAGCCGATATATTATTTCCTGAGAGGAAGAAGAAAAAGAGGTCTCCCTGTAAAAACCTTAGGATATATGAAGCAGAGCAGCTGATAGCAAGCTGGGAATACTTGGAGGTAAGAACTCTTACTTTTATCCAGTACATGTCCAGATAAAATGAAGACTAATTAGGCATTGCTTTCATTAGGGAACAATATTCCTCATATAATGGAAAGGCTATAGTAGCTTTGAGAATACTTGGGAAGCAGAAGAAAACCTTTCCCCTTTGTTGTTGAGGTAATTCCTTTATTAATGAAAATTATTTATCATGGACTTTTTATCTCATTCGTCTTTCAGTTATTGCAAATATATAATTTAAGTCTGTTATATGCATTTGTAAATGCATTTGGTCAAAATCTATTAAAACTGGTGTAGTTTTCCAGAAACTTTGATTCTCCAAGACCTAAAGGGCACACTGTACAGAACAACGTCAACAGGATGAGACTTATGCTGTTGGAGGCTCTTAACCACAAGGGTCCTGAACAGAAAGTGTTTTAGAGTTTCGCATGATGTATTCAAGAATTTGCTTTCTGGGAGAGGAAAGGCAGCTGTAGAGTAGAACAGGATGCACTTAGAAGAGATTTATTTCGATGTAAGCTCTTAGAAGCAAAAGAAAGTACCTGTGGAACAAGCGAGAAATGCTGCTGCTGAAATAATTTATTGTTGAAGATTATGTTGTGAATGAACAGATTCCGCTGCACACTGCTTTGGAGTTGTTGAGAAAATTGCTGTTGAATTCACAGAAAGCTCTTCCAATCAAAGCATAGATCCAAGAGGTAAAATACCAGTAGGATACTGTCTTGTTTCCATGGAAAGTCTTGTAGAATTTGCAAGAAGGATTCAATCAAATTCACCATGTTCTTCTGATGAGATGATTATTTTTTTCGCAATTTCCATAGTATTCATCATAAGAGGTGCTTCTTTGTTAAGTTCCTTTTTATTTTTGTTGTCGCAGATCATGTAAATGGCCCCCAGAACTGTTTAAGGAAAAGATGTGAATTGCCAAGTGGTCTATGCTGCCAGTGAAATAGGGAATGGCAGAGAAGATATCACTATTGATTAGATGCCCGATTCAGTTGGCAAAAGCATCAGCTACTCTACAATTCAGTGAAGGAGCAACTGTAAAGCATGAGGTGACGCCAAGGCCTGAGCTAGCTGCTGGCGGCCATACCAGAAAGGAAAGCACCAGAAGAGACTCTATTGTACACCCAGTAACCTTTAGTTCATTAGAAAATAGCGATAAAAATGTGGCTCACATGTGCATGTAGCAGACAGATAGATTAACTTAAACAATGAAAGGTTAGTTCTAAGTAATATCCAGGTTTCAGTGTGGTGTTTTCTTGGAAAAATGGAGCGTCATTTAAGAAGGGCATATATGAGTCCTTCCCTGTGACTCTCAGACTCATTCAGGAATCTCCAACAAACAGTCACAAAAAGACTGGTGCATTGGTGGTAGGTGTTCCCATAACAAGGCTTCCAAAGTGCAATATAAAGGACGTACCCTGGATGACTATAAAATAGCACAAAAATATCAAATATTTTAAGTTTGACCTTTCCTTGAAGCTTTCGCCAAAGCATCTGGTAAAGAATATTGTCCTTAACACAGTCTTGTCAGAGTGGATTACCACATTCACATCCCTGAGATCATCATGTCAAGGCTACAAAAAGGAAAGAGTAACCCCATACATGTACATCATGGTGTACTACGTAATTAGGTTAACGATGCCCCACAAAGGGTTAAAGAAACTTTCAGGCCAAGGTAAATGACTTAAAAGTATAATTTGTAGGAAATCAAAACCATTTAACCCACCCATGTTTTCAGTGGTACTTCTCTACCATCATCTTGCACAGTGTGGTTGACAGACGACTGGAATCTCAAAGTTGCACAAATTTCGGAATATGCATTTTACTCACTGTTATGCTGATTAGCAAAACTGACTCATCGTACTCTAACTTATTACACAACTGGGCAAAACAATTTGCCAACAGTAATGTTGTATGATAGCCCAAAAATCAAACAAATGGGATGCAT